TAAAAGTTAAAGTTAACTTTTTTGTTGTCAATCCCGATACTGCTCTTACGAAGCTGAAATACTACACTGGCTGCACTCAGTGTGAGCAAAATCCGTTGCACCAGCGATGGGGATAGTTTTCCCACAACAGATAAGATTTTTGAGGTCATGTGGCTATAATGGACTAACAAAACCAACTTTGGTGCAAGATCTAACCTAGTCTTCTCTGCAGACCAAGTCCAGACCAAAGGATTGTTTAGATTCCTTATGCCAGGTACAACATTAATAAGGATCAGGTGGTGATCAGTGCTGGGGTGATTGGTCATGTAACTTTAGTTAAAGACTTTTATTTTTTTCTACTGTAACCACTCTTTTTTTTTTTTTTTTCCTGGTGGGTTTGTGATAAAGCACTCCTGCACCAACAGGGTGCATAGGGATTCATGTGCACAGTGTAACTACGTGGAAGCAAAGCTAGGATTATCACTTCCTACTTCTGCATAGCACAGGCTTGCTGAATGAGCCCCATGGAGCACTGGAACCGTTCTGTCATTTGTATGTGCACTAGTAGTTTGCTTAGTACTATACAACTTGTAGTCTGTCTTGTTGTCTTAAAGAATATATGATACTTAATATACTTGTAATACGTTGTATGTATGCAATATATGTGTAATGTATTTCACAGAACATAGTAATATAACTTTACCTTTTGTACAGCAAACTCTGTCTCTGAATACCAATTCTAACTGAAGGTACAGTAAATGTTTTTAAAGGTCCAGAAGTTGGGTTTTAGCAGTATGTAAAGACTGATGTTCTCTTTCTCTTTCCCGCAGCTGGACCATATAGTGGTTTAGGCGAAGTCGTCCATCGAGAGAGCGTTCCAATGCACACATTTGCCAAGTATCTTTTCACCTCTCTCCTACCTCATGATGCTGAATTGGCATACAAAACTGCACTGAGAGCCATGCGGTATGTATTCATGAGTCATCTAGAAAGAGCGCAGTAGTGGTCGGGAAAAGGGAAAAAAGCTTGGTAATCAAGACCTAGATTTTTTTCTAAAACAAGCATTCTTCCCTTTAAGGAGAAATTATTCTGGTTCTGTCATCTGCATAAAAGCAATTGGTGTCTGTAGTAAATACAGTATCATCATTTATAAATGTACAATTAGTGTTTCTCTACAACAGTAAAACAGTATTCTCTGTTACAAATCCTTCTAGAATCCCGCTCTTGGGGCACATAGCTGTGTATTAAACGACGACAGCTTTAGCATGTGTGTTCTCTCACCCATGTAGTGTTGTGTGTATGATGGTATTGGCAAGGAAATGAGGAAAGAGGCGTCTCCCCAGCAGTCTCAGGATCATCTGCTGTTTAGCCTGTTCAGTAGAACTATTTGTTCCACTGGCCTTCTTTATAAATTAACACTCAATGATAGATTTGAAACCATATGGTGTGGTCTGAGCCAGTACTTTTTTCTTGTGCTTCATAACTAAGCAGTCTTGCACACTTCTGGGTGAATGTTGGGATTTAAATCGAGTATGTCATATGACAACAAAATGTCTGACTTGCATCCCATTTGTCTTCAGTAATCAGGAAAAAGATGTTTCTCAGGGAGTGCTCAGTGTATGCTGGCTTTATCTCAAGGCAGGTTAGATTGGTAATGGTGGCTAGGAAAAGCCTTCTGAAGGAAGTTTCAAGGGCCTAAATGATCAGTGATAAATCTGTTGTCCACATACAATGCAGGGAAGAAACTGGTCCTATCTGAATTCTGGTTGCTGTCAAGAACCTTGTAGTTGATGGTTGACAAAGCATAGCTACAACTGAAGGTTAAGAGCAATCAAGTCCCAGATTTAAAATTAAAAAAAAAAAAGGTGTTGAGTTTTCCTGGTCATTATTATCTAAAATGATTGCACAGTGATCGAAGGACACACTATCCACATAAGTAGTATTTGGCTTCATAAGACAGGTTGTGTCCTAGTTTTTTGGAGGTGTGTATTCTCGAGCTAATTTCTTCAAAAAAAAGCAAAATGGGGAGGACATAATTCTATGTTCAAAGGACTAAACAGGTAGGCATGCTTAAGAAAGAACAAAACAGGTCAGGCCATAGGTCTAAGAAATATGACCTTGCATACTTGTGTATGATTAGCATTTTAGGAAATAGATTGAGAGGACAGAAGTGCATTACTGATGAACTATTGAGAACATTCAAACATATGATCAGAAAGCTGTCTGGACCATCTAAGTACACCTCTTTTGTGGCAGATTAAGTGCATCAATAACCCTGGTCATAGCAGATCAGCAAGATAGTACAAAATGTGGTGGATGGGTGTTTCGTTTGTTTGTTTGTTTGGGGGTTTGGTCATTTGGGTTTTTGTTGTTTTATTTTGGGTTGGGTGGGTTTTTTTACAAAAAAAAAAAGGTCAGTCTTAGAAAGTAGACTTGTATCCTTGTATTTATTTTCAGTTACTACCTTAAAGTGTTTCTCAGATAGTGTTTGTGTGGAGTTTTCTTCCTTAAACTAAACTGCTGAAACCATGCTGAAAGGCTGGAATAGACATCCATCAGCAGCTTTACACAGTTCCCTGAATGCTTCAGTGAATGTGACGGCAGTATGCCATTCCTTTTGAAAAAGGATTTGGGCTTTCCCCAGAAACCAGTCATAACTGAAAACTTCTTTTCTGGAAGTTTCCTTTCCCAACGGGAAAAACAAGCAAGACACTGAAAGATCCAGATGATGAAATCTCCAGTTAGTCATGGGTAGCTCTAGCCATCTTTTTGTATGAAACTATCATGTCAGCCAGACAAGTTACTTTTCAAACAGACCAGTATAAGAAAGAGTTGCCTGTTCATTTCCATCTGGTAAAATCACAGGAGACATCAGCATAATCAGGGCTGTTCTCCATAGCCCTTTTGTCATGACTTTATAAGGCAGGTGAAAGTTCAGCCCTAGACAATAATCAGTCTTTCTGTATTTTGATACTTGGCACTCTTCAAAAATGTGGACTGATATCTTGAACTGTGGTGATGACAGATTAGACACTTTCTATTCCATGGCTGTCTGCATTCCTTAGCGCTTCTAAAATTCTCCAGAAGAAGGGTAGTTAGAAGTCTTTCCGTTCACACCAAAGTGATAGTTCACTGTAGAAAGGACTCCCAATACAAACCAAATGAAAAAGTAGTTTAATACTGCCTTGAGGGGGGAAGAAGAAAGCAAACATGAAGATTGAATATCTTTCTCATGGGTGTGAGGTTGAATGGATCAGAAAGGGATCCTTTCTGATCCTTGGGCATCCTTTCTTCCGTGGCAGGGAGGAAATGGCTGTGGCAAGGACAAAAATCTCATGTGGAAATAGTAAAGGTGCTGCTTAGAAATCTGTGTGGTTACTCATACTCTTAGAAATGGAGCATGTTTCTCTCTTCACTTCAACATTTATTACAGAAGTTAACTTCCCAAGACCCCAGCTAGTTGCTCTCCAGATGTAAGGGTTTAGTGTCGGTCTACACAGGTCAATGAACCATGGTGGCTGCTCTGGAGTATTTAACCTCTCTGTATTCAAAATCATCTGTTGCTGTTTCATTTTTTGAATCCTATTTTAGTCTATGGAACAATCAGTATGAAATCAATGGAAGCTGATACCATAAAACCTTTCATGCGTACACCTGAGGTCTGCAAGGACAGGGTTGTGCTATCTGTGGTGGTCACTTCCGTCTACAGTTGTCTGCTTGCAGCACTGAAAGATATGGAGTGGAGCCTTGGAGAATGTGGATCTGCAGTGACCTAGTTGACTGCTCACTTGGAATCTGAACTTGAATGTTTGGCTTAGTTTGGTTGATCCCTTGTTAAGCCTGAATTTCACCCAGGCTTTGGGAGCCAGACTTTAATGGTGATGTTTAATCACAAGGTAGCTTTGCTAAAACCTAGCTAAATAATTGATGTTTGAAGCAGGGGGGGGGAAGCGAAACTGAAGAATGCTAAATCTGCTTGTGCTTGTTCTGATGTTCCCTAATCTTGCCAAAATTGCATGAAAGCCACCAATTCACAACAGCATTTCTTTTCACAGCAAATAGAACATAGAAGCTGGCAATGACAAGAGATTTCCCCAAAACAGCCTCTTTCTTTCATACTCTTTGTCTATTGACTGTTACTCATAACCTAATAATCCCTTTTTGCATTAGGTAGTTGGGATTTTTACTATTTATCGAAACCATCTAATAATGAATCTCTGACCTTGCACTCTCTCTATGCTTTGAAAAAATCAGCTGAAGAGTTTATATATATTTCATTTGTATGTATATACAGCTATATAAAGAGGTGTCTCAGTGGTATTAGGGAAGAGATTTGATATATTAGCATGCACATATGTGTCTCAAAATGTTAATATAACCTACTGATAATTATTTACATGGTGTGTTGTATTTATATGTGCCTGCTAGATACTCTCCATATATTCAAAATTACCTTTCTCAGGGTATTCTTAAAGATGCTCTTATATGCTTCAGGAACCTACAGAAAACTGATGAAACTTAAAACTATCTTACTGTGGAAAAATAGGCATGCATTCCAGTTACTTAAAGAAATTCAGTATTCATTTAAAGCGTGAGAAATTGTAACTTAAGTTTGAATGAGCTTATTCCATAATATAGATTCTATCACAGAAAATCACAATGTATTGGATTTTCAATAGTCAGTAGCTGCAATTTTATTGACAAAAGAGATCCAATTTCCTTTGTCCTCCCAGATGACTTCCTGTTAGAAAATCACTTGCATGTGAAAGCTGGTAGAAACAGAACTCAGGTATTAACCCTGATCAAGAAGCTAAGGACCGGAAAGGCTTTTCTTCGGGATGTTGTCTTGTTACTATCATTTGATGTCTTATTAACCATTCATGTCCTGAAACTGTGCTTAATTGTGTTGAATAAAAATGCCTATTTTTGTTCACTCCTAGTTTTTGCACTGGCATTTATATAGCATTTAGTGTACTGGTTGTATCTAATGCATTGTAAGGGCCATCAGTTGAGTCTGTGTTGTGGGCTCTCACTTGTGCTGCACTAGTCAACAACAAAACATTAATTTGAATTTTCTAAGTGTGAATTCTCCTTGGTGGATAAGACTGTTGTAGATTTATGTATACTCAAAGAAATTTTTGCTTCAAGATTAGAAAATGGAGTCTGAAAAGTAACTTTAAAGGAAACTTCCTCTGCCACTGTGGTTTGGGACCCTAACATGAGATTATGGTATATTATAAAATGTTGGTAGACTAAAGTTTAAGGACTTTAAAAAGTAGTCATACTTGAACAATAAAATGTCTTTTTTGGACATAATTTCATGTCTGAATTATGTCTGGTCAAAATTGGAATTATTTGTTGAATGTCCCTCTCCCTTACTTTGAGTATTTGTAAATGAAGAAAGTATCTTGCAAATATTGAAAAATATTTACATGTTCTCAGTACGGTGGAGAAATACTCCACTCTCCTTCCTGAGGGCTGTGGTTTGAAGACTGAAACAAGGCAGGGAGAAAAGCTTCAGCTCTATTTGTGATACAGAAAGTCTCTGCTGCCTTGGCTAATGGGTAGCTTAATTGTCCTGTGGATTCCTGCAGTTGCCCACTGAGTTAGGCAAGCTCAACAAATGGATTTTTAAGAAGAGAAGTAGTTTTCCAATCTTTTTTTTATAACCAAAAAGGCACATTTCATAAACAAGGTCAATTGTTCTTGTAGCTTTCGTTTAGCTCATGAGTAACCTAATGTAATAATGATTTAATGAAAGAGGATTTCTTCCTTGTTTCAGGTTGCTAGTATTGGAATCTACAGCTCCTTCGGGAGACATGTCCCGCCCGCACCACATTGCATCAGTTGTTCCAAACCGGTATCCCCGCTGGTTCACCTTAAGTCACATCGAATCCCAGCAGTGTGAGCTGGCATCGACCATGCTAACAGCAGCCAAAGGTACATTGCTGTCAGTTATGTACTCGACTAAATGTATGTTTTTAATATCGCATGGAGTAAACAGATTATAAAACTTGTGTTTAGGAATCTAAAGTGCAGTCTTGACAGGAGCTTGAAATGGGTGCAACAAACTGAACTGGCTTAAACCTGTCACCTAATTTTCTACCAGAGTAATTAAGCTAGCTCGGTGAGAGCCAGATGAGCTTGATTTGAGGCTTATGAGATGGCTTTTTGTTCTTTTGACACATGACATAGACTATGAGACCCAGGAGTGGACAAATCACTTCTGAAATTCACTAATCAGGATGACTTTTGGCCATGTACTGCACTAACACCATCAGGCACTAGAATTATTTGTGCTGTCTTCTGTCTTGTTCATATGTGATTTAATTATGGAAGATTTCTAAAACCAAAATGTATCTAACTGAAACATCATACTATTGCATAGCAACGGCAGGCTCGATTATAATGCAGCTCTGGATGTTTTTGGAGCTTGTTTCATTTTGGTGATTCTGTTTACACCTTGCAGGTGATGTTCGGAGACTGGAAACAGTGTTAGAATCCATCCAGAAAAATATCCACTCCTCATCACACATCTTCAAACTTGCCCAGGATGCATTTAAAATAGCAACACTCATGGACAGCTTGCCAGACATCACTCTTCTGAAAGTTTCTCTGGAGTTGGGCCTTCAGGTATTTCCCTTGTTCATTATTATTACAGTAGAAGAAAGGAATTTGACCCAGTGTTGGTGGGTATAGATTTTAAGTGTTGAGGACCATACCCTTTTTGGGGTCTGTTTGGAGTTTTTAGATTCTTTTTTCTCATACAAAGCTCAACAGACTGGTAAACACAGACCAAGGGTCTGCACAGGCCTTTGTGCTGTTAGACTGGAAGAAAGAGCTGGGAGCAGCTGGCTTCAGGGCACCCTTCTGTCCTGGGGGGAGAGGGGGCCAGTGCAATGGGTTCAGGAGTAAATGTAGGAACTGGCTAGAAGGCAAAATTACTCTGCTTGCCAGAAATGCACGATATTTTCTGCATGCCCTTGAGGGGTTTCTTACCATTCCTTCTCTTCCTTTCTTTCCCCTTAATGGGATTTGGTAGGTGCTTGTTGAAGAGAAAGCCAAGGTCAGCCGTAATGACCAGTTTCTAGGGCAGACTGTGCTAACAGCAGCCCTCTCACTTCCTTCATCAGAATCCTGTACTCCACAAGCTGTGGGACAGTCAGATGCATCAGACTCAGCTTGAGGTGTACAAGAACCTCAGATCAGTTTTCAGGGTCTTAGGAGAGACTTTGCAAGCTAAAAGGAGACAGCTAAGTTTTAGATATCTGGAGTAATATTGCCTTCCACTGCATCTTGGAGTTTACACAGTTCATTTCAGCAAAAATAAATCTCTTCATCCCTCTTCTGGGAGTTCTTCAAAAAAAACATGCAAAGATCAGAAAACTGTTTATTACTTTCCTTCAGTAAACAAAGGTACAAAGACTTCTGGGGAAAGGCTATTATCCCAGTTGCTTCTTATGCCAAAGAAAGGTACTATTTGCCTGTTCTAGACATTTAGAAGCTAAAGTCTTTAATCAGAAAGTTGAGTTTCTATGTGCTTTGTTAGCCTTTCATATTCCCAGGGCTGCTTCTTTTTTCACATCTTGGTATGTTTCTGCCTTAAACATTTGTTTACTTGAGAGAGAAGGATATTTATGATTGACCTCTGTGTCACCTCAAGCATTCATCAAGTATCATTCAGTGATAGCAGGACACTTTGGGTATCATTGTATTCATAGAATCATAGAATTGTTTAAGTTGGAAAAGTCCTTTAATATCATCAAGTCCAACCATTAACCTAGCGCTGCCAAGTCCACCCCTAACCCATGTCCCTAAGTGCCACATCTACACATCTTTTAGATAGCTCCAGGGATTGTGACTCAAGCCCTTCCCAGGATACCCCTTTGTGGTTGATGGTGTCAGAATGTTTTCAGTGAGATCTAGTGAAAGAAATACTACGAACACATACTTTCTCCTCAGTCCCAGGGTTTGGAATAGACTGGGGTTAGAACCTGTCCACTGTTCTGTCCCAAGCTTAGGAGCATTTTTTAAGAATCTTAAAGGTAGCTTGCTTTCCAGAAGGAAGATACATAGCAGTTTTCTGGTAGTAATTACTGAGTAATTACTCACAGCTATGTAGATTTCTACAGTAGTTCTTTTCCTGCAAAAACGTTTTTGTCAGCACTGTCTCCTACAGATGTTTCCCCCTTCCTTGCCCTTCCCAGCTTAATAGCAATTGGACTGTCTGTATTCACTATCTTGTACCTGACTACTTAGGACATTTAGGTGCCCTAGAAAACTTTCTCCCCTCACGTGGTAAACTAAACAGCAGTGTCCTCATGGGTATACTGTTCTGCCTCAGCTACAGCGATGCAAAGTTGGCCTGTTTGGTCTGAGGAGATACCAACAATTTCACAACTCTCAGTGGGATCTCTGTGACAGAAAAGCCTCGTACATTGTTTTGGATTTGGGAGTAATGTATGGACTCTTGGGTTCTTTCTCCCTATTTCCAATGGCAGCATGTGTTATGTGACTCAGCAGAGGGAAGGCTTTTAAACTGGCTGTGGAAAGAGGTCATCAGCATGACCAAATGGGCATGGAGCATCTCAGGTGTATTCTGTCCTACAGAACCTTACTGCCACAGACTCTGTAAGATCTGCAGGTACAGGAGGGGCTTCTATTCCTCTGTTTAGCTGTTGTACGCTACAACAGTGCAAGTAAGTATTACTGCACACATGCAAAAAGGTACTGCTGGCAGAACTGCTGAGCAACTTAGTGCAGGTGATCACTTGATGCATATTTGGCAACTGGTGTCCTTTGCCCCCCAAATCTGTGAATGAATGAGTAAATCGGTAAATCTCCTTCCCATGTGCATGACAAAAAGGTTTTGCATTGGTGCGGGAGCTAATTGTTCATTGGCCATTTCTTGTATCTCTTAGCGGTGGTGAGATCATCTGTTCCTGTAGACCAAGAAATTCTTATAAAGATCCATAAAGACAAAGTCAAGGTTATTCTGTGTGCAGAGAGCTTGGCTTTCAGATAAGAAATGTAACTCTCAGGAGCCTCTTGTCACTTTCAGACTTCCTGACTTGTTGAGAAGCTCTCTTCAATTGATAGCACAGATCTTGGATAGATCTTGGACAGATGTGGAACTCCCTTTTAGGAAGAGGTAGCTCAAGAATGTATTGAGCAGAAGTTAAATAGTTCTTTGGGTACATGTGCTACAGTATAGATTAACTTCAGCTGCTCCTCGGTCAGAACATCAATACATGCTTTGTTTGAATCATAGAGTCATGGAATAGTTAGAGTTGGAAGGGACCTTAAAGATCATCTATTTCCAACCCCACTGTGATGGGCAGGGACACCTTCCACTAGACTAGGTTGGTCAAAGGGTGAAATCCTTGGGTTTTTTGTGCTCAAAGGGTGAAATCCTTGGGTTTTTTGTCATCAGTAAAGGGCCCCTCTCTTGCTGTTCTCAGGTTGTCAGTTTAATCAAATGAAAGGAACCTAATTCCAGAATAGTTCATCAGGAAACTTTTCCATGTCAGGAAGCTAGATAGGGTATTGTTTTTTGCTCTTAAGCTTGGACTGTCTACACTGGAACTATTGTTATGCCCTCTACATGTACTGAAGGCTTTTGTGACTGCTGATGTTTTTACAGACCACCACAGTGATGGCACTGATCAGACAAGACTTTCAGAGAAGTTGTCATTCACACCATTATTTTTTTTACCTCCTTCCCTCCCTTACCAGTAGCAGAATTCAGTCCATAACCCTGTATTTTCTCTTGGATTCATTCTACTTGGGGGAAGCTGAAAATTCATCGTGGATATTGGAAGAGTGTTAGCCTTCAATTTGTGCATGCATCAATACAGGAAGTCACCTAGACTCCTTCCCTTTGGACAGAATGGGAAAGATAATTGCATTCCAAAGTATTTTGACTTGAGGCTGCCTGTTTTTCTTCCAGAAAGACTTCAAGCAAAGGCTGGTTCCATGATTTACCTTATCCATATTTTCATATCTTAAAATGTGTTGGGTTGCTCCTTATGGATCAGTTTGCTTTCTTTCAAAATGCTGTTCTCCAATCTAGCACTTAGGTTACAGTGTAGTTAAAATGATACCCCAATGTCTGAGGCCAACAAAGCTGGCCTTATCCTGTAACTTTGGGTGATGTACAGCCAGTCAGCAGGGTCTCAAGGTGGGAATGTTTGGAGACCAGCTTGGAACCACTCATGGTTGCTTATAACCAGACTTCTCAAAGGTCATCTGTGCATTTGTGCTCCTCAGCAATTTTTCTGTCTTAATTATCATATCTACAGCATAGGACTAGAGGAGGTGGCAGGAGGAACAAATACGACAGAGGGCTACATGCCTCTTTGAAGTCACCTTAGGATTGGGAGGGGATATGGGTTCAGAACCCGCTTACAAATGCTGCTGACTCCAAGCAGTTGTGTGAGTGCATTTGTTGACTTTATGTAAAGACATTGCTGAGAGCTCTATTATTGACCTATTATCTTCTTTATTTAATTGCTACAAATAGTAATACCGTAGTATGATCACTGATATTGTAAGGGGAAAAACACTTGCTTTCTTCATCTAGGTATCTGTGGGGTCTGTCCGGGTAGCTGAAGCAAGCTTTGCCTGCAGTTTCTGTGCAGTGTTTATTTTCACAAATAAACATACTCACCCATGTTTTGAGAAACAGCCTAGGCAATAACTGCAAGTGATGTAAAATACGGGCACTACAATCAAAGCTTGAAGTCCTTTTTCTAGGATTTTGATGGTTTTATGATGGAACTTCTTTGCACGGTCTCCTTCTTCAGGGAGAAATCATTGCTATGGACTTCTTAATACCTGGATATATCTGGAATTGTATATATATCTTTGCAGAACAAGCAGCCAGTCAAATCACAGTACACTAACTTCTTTCTGTATTGTTGAAATCAATGAAAAGAAATGCAGATGGGGGAAAAATTAAAGGGGTTAGTTTGCCCAACAAGAGTTGACACATTTCCACTTCAAAGACTATTCCGCATAGAGGGAGGAGACATGACATAATTTAATTTGAATAATTGATAATTGAGCTTTTTTTGTTGTTTGGAGGGGGCTTTTTTGTGGGGTTTTTTTTTGTGCCCACAGATAAAACAGTCTTCTCTAGTCTTGAAGGATCTGCAGTTGGAATTACTCTCTGCATGCTACTCTAAGATAACTGAGCAATATGTTTCAAATCTTTTGGTATATCAGCTAAAAAAGAGGTAACAGAGAGGAGACGGGAAGAGACTGCCATTTTGAATGTCAGTGTAATTGAGTAACTGAAAATGCCTAACTGTTGGTATATTGCCTTGGTTTGCAATAGGATTAATTTGTATTTTGTTTGTGTTGTTTTAATAGGTGATGCGGATGACGCTGTCAACACTGAATTGGCGACGGCGGGAAATGGTGAGGTGGTTGGTAACATGTGCAACAGAAGTAGGTATGTTCTGAGATGTTTCTCTTGTCAGCTAATTTTAGAGGGCTTGATCTTGCTTGTCAACATCCAGGGTCTGCAAATGTCCCCAACTTTCTATTCATCTGTAAAATTCCTTTGATGAGAAGACATTGTGGCAGTGGGTGGTTTTTTTTAGGCACAGACCAAGTGATACAATAGTTGAGACAATGCAGTGTGACTTCTTTCCCCCACAAGGTGGGGGTGTGCATAACCTCCTGGGAAATACCCCGGATTTCCCCTTGTCCCCTCCATGATAGAGTTGGGTTTGGGTTTGGGTTTGAGGCTGCAGTAGAGAAGAGGCTTGTGGTTCTGGGCTGTTGCACTATGCTACAACTTTGCTGGCTCTGAAAGGCAGGTGAGATAGCAACCTGGTTAGCTGTGGGAAGAGGAACCAGAAAACTGGTGAATGAAATGCTGAGGATGGCTCCTACTGTGTGTCAGACAGGATATCATGAAAGGGTTCGCATTGTTAGGGGTTTTTTTGAAGCCCCTGGGTAAATCCAGGCTTAGAGTGTAATACATCTTTGTTATGTGGCTATGACATTGTGCAGGCCTCTTGTCTGCACTGGAAGGCAAACCAGATACCAAGGCACCCATCATTAACCACTTAAGGTGAAAATACGGTGGGAGCAGAACCAGCCTTATACTTAAAGAACAGCAGTAGGAGAATAGTGCACTCAGCAGAATGTTCTGTTTATTTCTGGGCTTTGCCATAGACTTCCTGTGCGTCTTGATGAGGCGTCCCTTAGCTTCTGTATTCCAGTTTACCACCTGCAAGATGAGGATGCAGAATCTGAAAGTGAAGATGAGTGCATTAAAAACTGTGTAGCTGTAACAATAAAAAAAATCAGCAACTGTGGTAGTGGGGACAATGCAAATACTTATAGTAAGGGAGCAGTTTTTATTGTCACTAAAGGTATTTCAGGAAAGCATGATTCCGTACTGTATTTATTTCTCTTTCATATGTCTGAGTTGGATTGTATTGCATAGGTGCTTCTTGAGTTTCAGAACTTCAGAGTATTGCTGCTGCTTATTGTCTGGATTAGTTTATTCTTTGCTTTATGCTTAACTAGGAAATTAATATTGTAAGTAGCATGGGAAAATACAGCTTGCCTTTGTATGCTCTCAGCCAGAAAGTGGCTTGTGTCTGCAAATTTTTGTGTAATGTTTTTGTTTTATTGCTTTTATATCTTTGCTAAGATAATTATTATTGAGGCTATCTTATAGATATTAGTGGCTGGGTATTAGTTTGTGCATATCAGCAAATAAAATGCTGGTTTTAATACTGCTTTAAATTAGTTTACATATTCTAATAGAAGTATTCCATAAAGAACCTATAATGTCATGCAAAGTACTCTTGAGACTTAATCAAGTTCGTAAAGCAAGGAATCTTTGTTTAAATGAAGATCTGGTATTCTCTGGCTATGCTGAATTGTTGCACATGAGTGAAGGGGTGCACAGGAAGCATCAGAGTCCTACAGAGAAAATGAGGACCTCTGGGTGTGGTTTAGGTGGGCTCACAGATGGGCATAAACTGCCTTTAGCAGTAATAAGGCACTCTAGTTGGCTATAAGGTTCAATTTATGGAACTCATTAGTCACTGTTTCCCGTTTCCTGTGCCTGCCAAACACACACACAGATGCCAGGAATAAAGTGATACTAAGGAAAATACCTATTTCAGATAATACCCAGTAGTTCATATTGCTCAGAGTATTTCCCTAATAAGGATCTTGATGTTCAGGCGCATATTTGAGACAAGACGTATCTGTAAAAGCCTGTTGGGAAGAGGCAGGGGTTAGGATATTTTTTTTTTTTTTTTTTTTTTTTTTTTTTAAGGTGTGCTTAGTGTGTTCCATTAAGGTGTGCCGTGGTGTTTTATTAAGAAAGCCATTTAGCATACTTTCATATTCCTTTGTGCATGTGCTGTGCCTTGAGATGCACAGTGAGAAAAGAAGTTAAAATTGCCTTCTAAAAGTATTCAGTGTGAGGGCTGCTTTTGAGTGATGTGATGAGACCAAATGAGCCAGAAGTTGTTATCCAAATTGTCTTAAATAACAAGTAAAACAGCTCAGTTGTCACACCAGGAGATTAAAGCTTATCCTGCAGGCTGTTTTTGTTATTCTCTGCATTTTGGTGATTGCCACGGAGTTTTCACAGTAGCCTTTTTTGATATCCTTTTCCTGCATGCTATCTGGTTTAGCCCTTCTTGCTGAAGCACATCCCCTTGGATGTACTGGCAGCCTCTTAAACTTTGCTGCAAATGTAATCTTGTGCTGAAAATCTGTATCTGCTAGGTTTTATCAGTTGTGGCTAATCCTTTCTTTCTCTCCTTAGGTGTTTATGCACTGGATAGTATCATGCAAAATTGGTTTACACTTTTCACTCCAACAGAAGCCACTAGTATTGTTGCTACAACAGTGATGTCCAACAGCACCATCGTCCGTCTGCATCTGGACTGCCATCAGCAGGAGAAGTTGGCCGGCAGTGCTAGGACGCTTGCTCTACAGTGTGCCATGAAGGATCCTCAAAACTGTGCCCTCTCTGCACTGACCTTATGTGAAAAGGATCACATAGCTTTTGAGACCGCTTACCAAATCGTTCTAGATGCTGCTACAACTGGCATGAGCTACTCGCAGCTTTTTACTATAGCACGATACATGGAGCACCGTGGTTACCCCATGCGGGCCTACAAGCTGGCCACTTTGGCCATGACGCATCTCAACCTGAGTTACAATCAGGACACACACCCTGCCATTAATGACGTTCTGTGGGCATGTGCGCTCAGCCACTCCCTTGGGAAAAATGAGCTAGCAGCTATAATACCTCTGGTGGTCAAAAGTGTCAAATGTGCAACAGTACTGTCAGACATTTTGCGTAGGTGTACTTTGACCACTCCTGGCATGGTGGGACTTCATGGAAGGAGGAACTCTGGTAAGCTCATGTCACTGGACAAAGCCCCTTTAAGACAACTCTTGGATGCCACGATTGGAGCCTACATTAATACAACTCATTCACGTCTCACTCACATTAGCCCGCGACACTATAGTGAGTTTATAGAGTTCCTCAGCAAGGCCCGAGAGACCTTCCTAATGGCTCATGATGGTCACATCCAGTTTACACAGTTTATTGACAACCTAAAACAAATCTACAAAGGCAAAAAGAAACTGATGATGTTGGTTCGTGAGCGGTTTGGTTGATGAAAATGCGTGAAGGGAGGGGGGGTTGTTTTTACTTGAGCCTGCCTTTGTACGCTTTTGAACTTAAAGAAACAGAGCCACATGATATTATATGTGTATAGTTATATTGAGTTTGCAAACTAAACTGTCATGTTGTGAAAGTTTGTGTGTTTATTTTTTTTCCTTTTTTCTGTTTTGTGTGAGAGAGAGGTTAAAAAGGTTTGGTTTACACTGAGTATATGTTGTCAAGTGGCAAAAGCCCACATTGCTCTCCTGTTCTTTCTGTATATGTTCACAGCCTCAAAAACAAACATATATTGCAGTGGCTTTAAAAAACAAACAAAACACCTCCATCCTGTGATAAGTACCTCGAATGGATTCAGCTTTACTCATTTGTAATGTATCCTTATATTTCAGCATATTTAAACAAATGAAATACTAATAGTTAAAAGGCTGACCACGTGGCTTTGCAGTGCTGTTCATCCAGAAACATGGCACACAATGCTTGCGCATGTGGAAACTTAGCAACTGTCAACATACATTCTCAGGGATTTATCAAAAAAAAAAGTAAAAAGAATGAGAGCATTTATTGTACTGTATATATATTATAGTATATGTCTGAATATTGAAAAAATATAACATTAATTTATAAAAAAAAAAATCTATGTAATGCAAAATACTTGAAGCTGCAGTAGCTAGGTTTTAAACAAAAAAGAAAACCTATCCGAAGGACTAAAGTGCGCCTTGCTTCAGGGTTGGCTCAGGTGGTGAACTATATGCTGGGCATCTATGCAGAGCCACCTTTTGGATTGCATGGTTGGACTGATAGCTATTGGGGGAAACATATATTTATACAACCTGTGTATACATATACATGTATACACACATACATGCATGCTTGTAACAGGCACTATAGTAAAGAGGGACGACAAGAAATACACAGCCAGAGCAGCAAGCCTTAGCATTAAGAATACAGTATGCCAGAATTGGGGTTTGTGCCTCCTAGCCTGGGAAACTTAAAGAAATATCCTTTTTCACACAAAACGCAAAATTATTGACATGATACATTACGCCTTTGCAGTGCACTAATAATATGTTAACATTTGTGCACAAATATATATATTATATATATATTCTGCATAGGTTTTTTGACTTTGTGCAGGACAAAGTTGTGTAGGTATGACTGTTCTACTTTTCAGTTTGTTTTTTTAAAATATTTTATTTTCTCTAGAATTACTCAAACAATAGCAGCCTTCTATCTTGCCTTGTCTTAATGCTTTAAAATAACCAAACTGGAGATCTAACTACCAAACTGTTCATTATATTATTAAATACCAACTTTGGTTACAGTATAGTGTCTTTACTTTAGCTGATGGTTCTGTATCCTTGTGCTTTTTAAAGCAGTTTTTATGTTTTGGTGCAAAAGTTGTCCAGTGTCTCTTGTTCCCTTCATTAGAGAACATTCTAGAGGTATGTTTGTAGGTATTTTTGTTTAGAAAAACTATTTCATGCTCTCCATTTTATTTATTATAATAGGTAAAAAGGTTGTACTTCATCACCCATGTAAACATGCTCATGAAGTTGAAAGTAATTAAGATTTGATACACTGATATCAATTTATTTATGTAACTAAATCACTGTTTTATAAACTTGTTAATGATCAACAATTTTTTTGTTTTGATTAAAATTAGTTTTTTGAAAGTTGATTCTGTCTCCTTTATGGTGTCTGTTACTGGAGTTGAATTGCGTATGGATAGTTCATGGATCATAAATGCCCAGCTTGCAACTTTGGTGCATTATGGTGGTAAGCAGTATGACCACCAAGCCCAGGAAATAAATGTTTTGTTCCTCAAAAATCTGCTGAGGAATGGCAGTGTTCACAGTTGCTGGTGGAAGATGACCTGTTGCATCAGAGGAAGGACCAAATGCTGCCTGTGACTGAAGATGTGGTCTATACAATGAACAGTAAGCCTTGACACACTGCCCTGGCGGGATGGTAGAGTGTGTAGTAGTATGTTCCCACGCGGTGGATTATTTGATTGACCATTGGGATTGAGATGCAAATATATACAAGGACAGTTCTCACTGTTCCTGGATTGGCTTTTTAAAAGTATTTTGCAGATTTTGAGCTGTGCACCTTCCTCAACCCAGCATGGTGTTACTGCTCATGAGCTGGCAGCCAACATTTCTGCTTTTTTGGAGCCCTTGCTCTGTAGGAGTTGTTGTGAGTTTTCCAGCCCCTAGTGAAGAATGGGATACAGCATGGTTGAAAATTGAAGAGGATATTTCCGCTTTACCAACATCTTTATCATCTTAGGAATCTTATGTGGTGTCAAATATGACTACTTGATCTGAACACCTTCACTTTTTTTCTTTTTAGTATCTTCAGCTGAAAAGAGAATTAGCATGCAGCAAGCAACTATGAGAGATGCCAGTGTAACCACGAATTCTGACAGTGAGGCTTCCGTCACCGGAAGATTGAGGAGGAAAAGGTCTGAGTCTTTTTACAACTTGTCATCTAAAATATGAGTCTTCACCAAGTCTTGCTAACAGCTGAGTTGTCCTGACCTAATAGTACTAACCTTCTGTAGCTTCTGCAACTTCCGGCCCTTCCAATTATTGAATTCCACATTATATTTTTGCTTTGTTACTTTGTCCTAGCTACATACAGTAAGGAATGAGATGGATACTCCATTCTGTAAGAGGGTTTGTGTAGGGTTGTTTTGTTGGGGTTTTTTTGCCTCTTATGAATAATTCAGTATTAAGGATATGGTGGGTTATGTAGATTGCAAAACTGAAGCCTACTTGAAGACCAGGCTCCAGAATTAAATGCAGTTCTGGTGGTTGCTGCCTGCTTTTGATGAGCACAATGAATTGTTCTTTTAGAACTGATGGAAGTTATTTGGTTTGTTTTCATGACTAAAATCTCTTCCGTGTCCACCGTGATGTGCGCAGTGCAGTTCACACAATGTTGAAAGCCTTTAAGGACCAAAAGAGGCTTGGCCAATCTCTCTAGCAAACATGTCTAGATATGTACAGCTCTTGTTTTGTGGAGGTAGGAAGAACCTAGGAACGGGATTCCACAAAAAAAAAAAAGCCTGAGGGCTGTTTTGGTGAAAACTGATCAAATATTTCTAATGTAATTTCTAAAAGTACAAATTGTAATTAATTCTGAAGCATAAAGAAGCCTAGTCAAAATACAGTGTCTCAAATTCCTTCTCTTCAGAGCTGTATATTTGAGATACACAACTGAACACCACTGCTATCATTGTCTCCAAGTGTTTGAATGCTTTTTCAACACTCTTTTAAATAAGGACTTTTTCTAAATCCAGGATTGCTATTCAGTAGTGAAGGGAACTGGGCATGATTCTTCTGCATCACAGACTACCATTGAATCTTCATTCTTTTGGTAAGTCAAGTGAAATCCTGAAAGATGTGATATTATTTCTGTATTATGAAACTGTCTTGCAGCCCAAGAAACTGACTTTTATCTATAAGTTCGTTTTCAGATTCCCTTTATTGATTTGCCAGAACGGAAGCCAGAGAGATTTTTCCATACACAAATTACATTATCTTTGTTTAGCTTTTTAGTGTTTCAACACTCACTTCATTTCCACATCCAGTTTCCCCATTAGAGAAAACTGCACAACTCCTCAGCATGAAAAAGAGAAAGGCAGGCACGTATGGGAGACTCAGACTTCAAAGTGCAACTGAAATCCAGACCGCTTCCCTCAAAGTACTTCATGTCTTGTTCTCAAACCCTTTTATTTTTAATGCTGTGGCAGTGGACCTAAACCTGGATTGCATGTACATGACAAGAAATTTATGAGACTGACTGAGAAAAATTGCAGGTAATCTTCCGAGGCTAGAGCTGCAACAAGAAGACTGGGACTGCATTTCATTGTGGTTGTCTTGTACAACAGATAGGATGACCAATCGAGAGTTCTGGCAGTACAGATGAAATTCCGGAGGATGTTTTTTCTTTTTTTTGAGTATCAAAAAGTAAAATTGGCTTTATAGTATTTTTAAGGATAGAAGATACTGTGAGTGCTCCGCATTAGCAAATTTCTCTTCTATATAAAACCTTTATTACATCTTTTTTTTTATATATCCATACAGAGTTTCCTGCTGCAAGCTTTCAGAAGTGTCTGTGAAAGTCACTTTTCAATAACGCTTTAGTGTTCTGTCAAATTAGTTTGAGCTACAATTTTCTTTCAGGTTTGTCTAGTAGCAATTAAGTTTTTCATACAAGTGGCTATGAGTAACGTAAGTGCATCAAAACCAGGGTGCTGCTTCCATGGAGGGAAATTTTGCTTTCTGAGTTGTGCCAATTAAGATTTGTAGTTCCACAGAGTGCATTTGCGCTACAAGTAAATTTATTTCACTGAGGTGCCTTGGATTTGATTAAAATATGGAATTTTGCTGAAAAATCATCCAGCCTCTCATTTCTGACTTAAAAAGAAAAATCCTGGTAATTTGTCTACTTTTAATGCAGGGTATAATTTGGAAAAACAGCAATATATCTGATACTGTTACAGCATCGGTAAGTATGATACTCTCAGGTATTCTCTTGCTCTGCAGTCCTGTCTAGAGAGAAAGTGTTCATAGGCAAATATTTTCCCATCCTTTTAACTGCTTGTCCATCCCCTTGAAAGTATACTTTCTGCAAGGGTAAGTGTGGAAGAAAGGAGCACAAAGCACAAAATGTTACATCCAATCCTTGCCTTGTGGCAATGCAACAGAGAAATGGAGATCTAGGGGTATTACAGAATGTTGCAAACTACACTGAATATGAGATTAAAAGCTTTGTAAGGTTCTTAATAGGAGAGACAACGAAGTGTCAGGGATAGCTTTACTTGAGAGAAGAGGTTGCTAGGATTTGCCTCCCCTGTAGAAGTGTGTGCTCCATACTGCATATAGGAAGACAAGTCTTGCTTCTGCTAACGTCCTGGGCTGTCAGCATCAAGTAGCACCAGCTGTCAGCTGAAATGTTTGTGATCCGTCCTTACAGGTAGTATCAGTATCCCTAGAGTTAGTAAAAGTAGAGCATTGTATGCCCCAAGAAAAAGAACCTGCCTTAAAAAGAGTTTTGTACTGACTGAATTTCATTGTTGTAACTTTCCTTTTCTTCCTCTTTAACATCTGTCTTTTTGTATATGTAATTTCAAGAGCTATGTGTTTGGAAAAATGTTTACCTGAAGGATGATGTGCCTGTGGTCTGATGATGAGATGATGTAAAATGAGCAATCGAGCTATTACTTGGTAACCACGGTCCATGGTGTTGGAAGTATCTGTGGAGCAGTGAATGAGAAGGGTGAGCTTCAGTCGTGCTTGCTGTAGGGGCTGGTGAGCTGAGACCTAAGGCAGCAGCCACAGCTGGCACACAGAGACAGCGCTGTCTGCCTTTCCACCGCTCTGACCTTGGAATTGCTTGTTCGACCACAGAGGAGTCTTGGTTTGGCATCCCAGGAATCAAAGGCAAATTACTGTTCATAGAAGATTTCTGGAAAGTCGAAAAATGGATGAGGGTGATTAAGGACAGAGCTAAATA